TCATCATCATCATCATCATCATCATCATCATCATCATCATCATCATCTAGCAAGCATGACAATACTCTTCTTGACGGATGTTCGGTGGGAATTGGAAGAGTTTTCGGAATCCGACCTAGATAGATAGGACTCAACTTCGGCTTCTCAGGGCACAGAGCAATCGCAGATCTCCCAGAAACGCCCGCCGCTTGGTCGACGCCGTAGCTTGGTCGACGCCGTCGCTGGGTCGACCACTGGGTCGCTTCGTCGCAGCAGGCGGGTGATTGTCCAAAGCTAGGAGATCGCTGACCGTTGACCCACATGACATAATATGACTATGACTATAACGCTTCCTGTCGGGGTGCCCTCTAAATCATGGAGATATCCAGCCAGGTGACCCCCGAACGGTGGCGCAGCTGGTATAGCCTGCGGTTTTCACCTGCCCTTTTGGCCCATGGCTTCCACGTCGTCGTCCGCTCGAACGCATGGGGGTCCCTCGGTCCGCTCCGGCCCTCGGTCCTCGGTCCGCTCCAGCATCGTGTCCGCTCAGGCGCCGTGCGGGCGCAGCTCCACGACGTGGTGGCGCTCCAGGCACGCAGAGAGTCCGTGCGGCGTCCGGGAGGTGGTTGAATGGAGAGGATCGGCATGCCGGCAGCCCTGTTTGGCATGTGTTTGGCTTGTGCTTGGTGGTTCGGAAAGCAAAAAAACACCTGTTGGACGACCGGTTTTCTCGTGTCTTGGTCGGTGTTCCTGGTATTGGTGCAGCGTGTTGCGTCTGCAAGACAGTTTGGTTCTGCATGAGATGTGCATCAATAGAGGGCGAACTATCTACACACCGTTTTCTGAGTGGTTTTGTCTCGTTTTGGACAAAGATTTTGTCTCGAGAGCTTTGGTGCTTTCGTTTCTTCTTTCGCTCATTTTCAGGATTCTTGTCATGGAGGGCTTCACCACATGAACCACACACAGATGGACGGTTCCGAATATGCCACTACGATAGTAATATCATGCCATCTCCAAGTTAAACTTAGACGTTTTATTGAACTTCTCGAAGCGCCCATCTTTCAAAAGCCATCTTCTCTTGTACACCACCTCGCAACCTTTGTATATCCCTTCCAATTGGATGCACCGATCCTCTTCAGGCACGACCGGAGCGCCCCCCGGTCCCACCGGTGACCGCCGGTGACGCTGCCGGATGGGACCGGCGGATCCCAGGCGACCTTCTCGGCCTTCTGCGCGCTGAAGTGCGATGGCACCGTGGTCACCTGGGGCGACCCGGTGCGGGGCGGCGACGCGCGGCGAGCGGCTTGGTGGGAGGAGAGGGTTGGGAGAGGGTGGAGTGGCACCTGGCACCTCTTGTTTATCAGGTGTCCAGCGTACTTGGAGGGTGCAGGAAGAAATACTTGGAGGATGCATTTTCATAGGGAAGCCCCCCCCAACTGAGACCAGTAGACTGGTCGATTTTCCAAACCGAATTGAGGGGGTCGGTGCCGGGTGTCGGTCTCCCTAGTTGAGAACACAAGCAGGTTTGACTTGGAGATACTAACGATTTCTCTAAACAGACTCGTTTTCTCAGACACTGAGCTATTGTCATACTTAAGTGGATTGAAGCTTTTGCCTTTGGAGAATGGCAACACGTTACGTTCTGAGGTGGGGTTGTTGCACTGGGGAGAAAGCCCCAACAACGCCAGAGGCTATGACAGGCCGAGTCAACTTTGCTGGAGGAAATCTCGCCCAAGAGGTCTGTCCGAGATCTACTTCTATAGACACGATAGGTCTGTACTTTCTAAGAGATGAGTGGTGAGAAGTCGCCATGCCTTTGTTCCATACTGGCCAAGTAGAGGGCCTCAGGCCTCCCCGGCGGGATTGGTTTCAACCATCTCAGGCCGGGGACGCCCTGGACCACGTCCATCCGTTCAGTCCCGACCCGTTTTCCGAGCGGCCAATGGGTCGGTACCTTCTGATGTGGCGCAAACCACTCAGTTGCCAGGGTTTACTATATAGTGAGTGACTTGGAACACACATATCCTATATATCCTATGGTTTTCTTTGGAACAAACATACGTCCTATATAACCCCGCCATCCGACTGGGGTCGGTACAGCTGCTCCTTCCTGGCCTCGTTCGTCGGTGTTGGGCGAGGGACTCCCTCGAGAGTCGAGGCGCTCCCTGCCGCATCCCCTGCCACGGCTCAGGTCCAAGAGGAGCTGCGAGAGGTGCAGCAGATCCAGGCGAAACCTCCCTCCGTCGGTCCGAGGCCGTGCCCAGGCGTCGTGGAGGTCGCTTGTGGAGGTCGCAAATCCCTGCTCAGAGTCAGAGACCAGTCTCGATACTCATACAGCAACAGGGCCCCCGAAGTATACTAGCAAAGCCAAGACCGTGTCCAAGCATAGACTGCCAAGGATACCAGCATGAACATCTGAAAGTGCAAGGGTTTTATCATCCAGCTGTCCTCCACAACGAGGTCGCTTTGTATGCTCAAAACATGTGTACTGGCTGGCGGGTTCACGTTTCCATGCATTCGACAGTCACTAGGCAACATGCTTGTGTGAAAGGACAACCTTCAACCAGGCACAGATTCGAGGGAAGACGATTGGCGGAAAGACCCTTGATTTCGCTTGGTTTTGTCCGGTCCTTGATGATTGGTGGGAGGGTGCAAGCTTGTCAAATAGGCTGTGGTGTCAACACATTTCCTTAGCCTTTTCACACACAATCACCAGGTCAGCTGGTGATGCTTCTTGTTCACCAGGCTTTGATTTGATCTTTGGTCATTCACCCACCCAGATCGCTTTCCGTGTTTCAGCACCGGGTCCGGTCCGGTGACTCAACAGGCCCGAGAGGTCTACAGATTCGAACCATCTTCTTCTGTTCAATGAGTTCTACCCTGATTCATAATAGAGGATATGGCTATGCAACATGTTCAGAACTCAAGGACCATGCTTTAAAGGGTATGAGTTAGAAGGCACCAGGTGTTGAGAAGTTCTGAACTATACTGAGACATTCATTGACAACCATGGCTACACATGGAACATCCATGAACATCCACAATATCCATTCCAAAGATAGGGTGGTTTTGGTCGATCCTATTGGGCTGTACAACCATGCCCTACCATGTTTAGTACCTCGGGGTCTACACCTGACGCAACGTTAGGGCCATAGGACCCATCGATGGGCGACAGATCTGGATCCAATGCGACATGCCTCGGATTATCTACCTGACGAACGCGGCTCCTTGTCGCTGCTCCGACCGACCGGCCCAAGGACGAGGGATTTGGGGGATTTGGTCCGAAGATCCGGGGGGGGTCACTCCGGCGTCGCAGGCCTCCGGCGCAGCCTTTGCGGCCATCCGCGGTGATGGGAAGGCAGTCTGAGACGACGGGATGGGTAGCTTGGTCCGGTTTTCACTGAAAAGTGGATCTCGGATCGAGTCATCGAGTCATCAACCCAAGGTGTAACAGGTCACCTTCTTTTGCTGAAAAACTCACCGTTTCACCGATTTCACCTGCTTCCTCCTTGTGCTTCGCTGGCCGTCTCGGCCTCTGCCTTCTCCCTGCCGAACCCGCCGCCACTCCCCGGAGCCCGCCAGGTGGTGACCTGGGGCGACGCAGCGCGCGGCGGCGACGCGGCGGCCGTGCAAGAGAAGCTGGTGAACGTTGAGTCCATCCAGGCGAACTCGGAGCACGGCGGTTGGCGCGGTTGGTTGGCGCGGTGGGTGAGGGGTTCTTTCTTCTTTTAAGGGTTTTGGGTCGGTGGGTGGGGCGGTATTTTTGGGGGTGAGAACGTGGAGAGTTTTTAGAGCCATGACTCCTGGAAAAGAACTCCGTGTCTGATGGTGGAGGAGATGCCAAGCGCGGGCGGGGTGACGGGGTGGCGGTGTGGCGTTGTGGCAGGGATGTCCTGGGCCAGGTGATGGCGGCAGGGCCAGGTGGGTAAGGTGGAGTTCCGGTTCCTACCCCTGAGAGGTGGGCTGGGGGGTGTTGGAGGTTTTCGATAGGATCATCGGAGGGTTTTGTGTTGGCTTACCTGGTTATACCTGGTTGGGTGAAAGACCTTTTTTGGGGAGCTTTGGTGCGACAGCGGGACCGAGGCTTTATATATTTTATCGATTTATATCGTGCTTTTCGAAGATTTGTGTGAGTGTCTAGGATGTGTTCATTTGGCTTTCCTATTTTCAGGACAGTTGGTTTTCCAACTCCACGGGCGAATCATCGATTAAAAGGTTTCTAGAGCTTGACCATGAGCCAACGAATCTTTCTGGATGGAACGAGTTGGAGTGAATCTACTTCCGGCAAAGGCACCGAACATTGAAGGGAAGCATGGGTCATGGCAGTGGGTCATGGCGCCCGGCTCAACTGAATGACGACCCAAACCCCCCTTTGAAACGGACCAAACCCCTTTTTCAGGACACAGGACACAGGACTGGACTGGTGAGTGACCAAAAACGGCTCGGGGTGTTTGGACTGGTAACTGGACTGGTCAGTTGAAGCATCGATCATCTCCCGGTGGATGACCACCTGGATAAACCACCACAGGACTGTTGACCAGATCCTCAATTCACCGACTCAGCATGACTCAGCATGACCTCACCCACCGACCGGTGGATCATGGCACCGACCTCCCGCACCTCACCTCACCTCACCGACCTATTGATGGGTAGCTCTCGGCGGACAGGTCTCCGTCTCGGTCGGAATCGGTGGATGACCCGGCATCTCTTTACCACCCGAAGGATCCGAGGTCCGGACCCTCCATAGAATAGAAGGGGTCGAAGCCTCGATAACAGGGGGGTGCACTCAGAGGGTCCGGATCCTTAGGGCATGGCGGATTGGGAGCCTGCGAAGGCCATTAGGGCATGTCTGGACGTGGCGTGATTAAAACAGTGGCTCACGGTGAGCATGGGAACAGCTGGTCCAGCTGTTCTCCCTGTTCAATTCGTTTGGCAGGCACATGACCTGCCCTAAAGGTCGTGGTAGGGAAATCTTGGGCTTTACTTCTTGGATATACATTTGGCATACATTTGGTCACCCTAGGCCCATCTGTTCTCCAAGGATTTAGTAATAAGTTGTCATGAGATTGCAAATGAGAAAAAACCACCATTATTAAGTCCTTGTCTTTCATGATAGATTTGTCTAGACCACATACATGCAAGTCTCCAACCAGTATTGAATCAAGCGTGAGGTGTATCAACATGCGCATGCATCTAGTGACATAGTGACAGTGTTTATATCGACTCGCAGACTTGTCGGATTGCTCTCTCTCTCTCTCTCTTTTTTACAGTACTTGAAAACTAGCCACCCACAGTTCTTTTTTTGTCTGTGGCTTTACAGAACTTGGGGAGAGAGGTGGACGCACCGGCGGACGCACCACGTACGCACCACGTACGCAGCGGAGTCTTTCCGGGACGAGCGCTGCGGAGGCCTCCACCTCAGCCTTCGCAGCCCTACGCAGCGATGGCTGGGTGGTGACCTGGGGCTCATCGGACTGCGGGGGAGACTGCCGTCACTCGGAGAGGAGCTCGGAGTGGATGGGGGGGAGTGGATGGGGAGAGCGCTTGGACGGACTCGCCAGGTGGACAGTCTCCCACATCCCCATTCCAAGGCGGTGAAGCTCCATCTCTCCAAACCGAACCCGGTTTCAGCCTACGTTTTTTTCCAGCTTTTCCGACTCAACCGTTAGGGCCTTTGGGGAGATGGTGAGATGTGGTGAGATGTGTTTCACTTTTAAGTCAATGTGTTTCACTTTTAGCTTGGTTCATGGCGACCCTCGAACCGCAGCATGTCACCCTCGCACTTCTCCATCGCGACCCACGTAACAACTGACAACTCCGTCCACACTTTTCTCGCGTTTGGGCAAGGCTAAAGGGCCGAAGCGGGGATGAAGCACCGAGGCAACGCTTTGACCGGTGAAGTCGGTTCCGCAGTGAGTTTTCGAACCTCTGACATGGTGGATTGATCTGGAGCACTGTAGAGTCGTAGAGCACGTCTCAAAATCGTTGGGCTGGGCGGCCCCAAGGTCAGAGCGCGAAAGATGCGCCATCGTGTCATGTGTCTCAAGGGATGTTCTGTTTTTGGAGTGTGGCCCAACTTGGGCCCCCATTGATCCAAGAAGATTTGCCAGGTGGAGAGGTGTAGAGCGGAAAGACCTTCAAGACGAAGACGAAGGCATACATGTTTCCCGTCGAGTTTCTCAACCCACGACACTGACACCGTCCCAAAAGGAATCCGTCGAAATCCAAGCCACCCGAAGAAGCGCGCGACCGGTCGCGCCGGCCTGTCGCGCTGGCTTCGGGGTGTAGCGCCTGACCCCTGTCGGGCGGATAGACAGCTGCCCCAAGAGTCTGGCAAACTTTGGTAGTTTGGTGGCCCTTGTATGCGAATAGGAGGAGAAACTGGTTCAGTCCTTCAATTCAACAAGTGAAGACGATCATCCCTTTTCCCCCAAAATGAACGGCATAGACCAAATGGTTACCTTGGTCAAAACCAGGAGACCTTGACCCGGGGCAACGGACCTATACCGACCGACCCATAAAATGGGCGGACCTGGACCTGGTTCCGCGGCACCCCCGGGCCCTTTTGCTGAGGGTGGAAGGTCAAGATATTATGGACCAAAGCTGACCCATCTCAGCTCCATTGCAATGAGTGTCGCCTCTACTTAGTAGAGCCACGATAATATGTCCCCCCACTCTTCGAAGCTGTTTGGCTGACAGGGCAACTGTGTTACCCCCCCGCCAGTCCGATGTGGCTGGCGGGGGGGTGTGGACCGTGAAAAATGGTATGGCCATCGCTTTGTCCCAGGCCAGGTCGTGGAATGCGCCATCAGAGACAATGAAGGCCACGCTCAGGGAACAGTGGTCTTGGAGATCGCCGCGGCCCTTTCCACTGACGACCAAGGGCACTGGGTGACGGCCAAGTTCGTTGGCGCAAGCGATGCCCACATGCAGTGGTGGATGACAGAAGGTGCAGGCAAGAAGCTGGCTGCCAAATGTGCCTACCACTTCTGTGAAGAGTCCTCACATGACTGCACGGTCACCAGGAGAGGGGCATCGATCCACGTTGAGAAGTTCAGGGTGCTTGGCCAGAAGGAGTTCAACAACCGGGTGCCAGCCTGGGCCTTTGGCAAGGCTATGGGAAAGCACTTCATGGACTTCCTGTCGAAGAAAGGCATGGAGCCAAAGTCCGAGGAGGCCAAAGGGGCTTTACCCTGGGTGGACCCAGGTGGAGAAGGCTCTGAAGAGGAAGAAGATGAGAGCAGTGGCAGCCCAGCTAAAGAAGGTCTTAAGTCAAAGCTCTTGAAAGCACGTGATGAGGTGAAGCGCTTGGAACGGGAGCTGTCAGGCAAAAAGGCCGCCTCGAAAGATGTTAGCAAGAAGTTGAAGAAGGAGAAGACCAAGCGCAAGAAGAAGTCGGGGCCTGTCGCCAAAGACAAGAAGAAGCGCAAGAAGGAGAAGGGGTCACCCTCCTCTGGAGGTGGTAAGAAGAAGAAGAAGGCAGCAGGCGCTGATGAAGAACGGGTCAAGGAGTCCCGGGTTGTAAAGAGGAAGAAGAAGGACATTGATGAGTCCTCCTCATACAGTGAGGAAGAGGAGGAGGGCCTGTTCGGTGAAGGCGCTGAAGGCAAGGCCACAGCTTCGTCCAAGAAGGGGCGACGTGACCGGGGACCGTTTGGCGGTGGTGACATCGTCAGGTTCCAAGGTGAGTCCTCCAGTGATTCGGAGGCAGTTTTTCGCGAAGCCCCCACAGTCCCAAAGGCATCAAACCAGCTCAAGTTGATGCAGTACGCCAAGAGAACACCGGGCCGCCTGGCTTCAAGACTCCTCTTGAAGATGCAGGTCGAAGGAGCCCAAGGGACTGTGGGGGCGAACCCAGCGGACCAAGGCGTATTGACCCCGCCGGCAGCCGTCCATTACTTCCACACGACGATAGTGCCGCAGTTAGGGCAACGCCTGGGGATGAGAGCGCATCGGGAGATGAGGACGACACCGGAAGTCAAGAATGAGCTCACTCAAGCTCAAAAGCTCACAGTCGACCATTTGAGGCGCGCTCTGGATTATGTAGAGGAGCGCAAGTTGAGGTGCGGCAGATACAAAGAGACAGCGAAGCGCTTGGCTGATGTGCGCTTTGATTACCAGGGAGAACCTGTGGTGGTGATGGAGGACATCAGGGCAGACAAAGTGATAGCGGCCTGGCCGGGGGTGGGACAGGCAGCCGTTCAGGACGCCTTGTCCTTCCTTCCAGAGAAGTTGAAGGCAAAGATGTTGGACCCGGCGTCATGCCTCAAGCCGGTTCATGAGTGGCCAAGTGAGCCCCATCAGTCCAGAGTGAGGGCCTCAGATGACGAGTGGTGCAAGGTGGTCAAGGCCGCCCACGAGAGAGGGCTGATGGTGGCAGTCGAGCTGGACGAGGTCTTCAAAGATCAGAAGGGAAGGCCGGTGCTCAATGGAGCTGGTGCAGTGAAGAAGGAGAAGAAGATCGGAGGGAAGGTGGTGCAAACCCAGAGGTTCATCAGCAATCTGATTCCAAGCAATATGTTTCAGGACCGCCTGGAGGGCGATGACAAGCTTCTGCCTTACCTGGGGCAGCTCACCCTCCTGGAACAGGAGGAGGATGAGGTGTGGTTGGTCGATTCTGAAGATTTCACAAGTTGTTTCAACCTGTTCCGCCTGCCCCCAGTCTGGTACAAGTTTATGGCATTTGAGAAGCCAGTGGACGCATCCCTGCTGGGAGGAGCTGCAGGAAGGATGGTGTATCCTGCAATGGCTGTTCTGCCGATGGGCTGGGTGAGCAGTGTGGCTGTGGTGCAAAGCATCGTGAGGTCTTTAGTCTTCAAGGAGGCAGACATCCCAGTGGAGTCCGAGATCGCAAAGACTCAGCCCCTGCCCGCGGACGAGGACCTGACGGTCATCTATCTGGACTCCTATGACCAGCTCAGGAAGTTCAAGAAGGGCTGAGATGTCGGAGAGGCACAAGCGTTTCCTCCGAGTTTGTGAGGACCTTGCACTGCCACTCAACGATGGCAAGAGGTTAGTGGCTTCAACGCTGGGCGCCCTGCAGGGCGGTGAACTTGATGGAGAAGAAGGTCGCTACGGGTTGGCAGTTCAGAAGATGGTGGACGTGATGTCACTAGGGGCCACCCTCCTGGCCAAAGAAAAGTGGTCAGAGGCTGAGCTGAGGCATTTCGTGGGAAAGGCATCTTTTGGATGTTGCTTCAGGAGGCCCCTCTTCTCCATCCTGGAGAGCGTGTTTGAGGAGATTAGTGAGAGGGCCAAGCAGAATGACCGGGAGGCGCCTCGACCTGACAGCTGGGATGAAGTGGCCCTGACTGTTCTGTTGACCCCGCTCATGTACACGTACTTGAAGGCCAAGATTGACCCCGAGGTGTCGGTCACCGATGCCTCGCCCACAGGGGGTGGAGCAGCCACGGCCGTGGAGGTTCAGGCTGAGCCATGCACCATCGAACGCGACCCAGCAGTATGTGCTCAATGCGGAAAGGACATCCCGGGGCATGACCGTTACCCGTGTCCAGCGGTGTGTGGGGCTACGTTATGCTCACTCTCGTGTGTCTTGACGCACCGAGAAGGTGATGAGGTCTGTCCCAGGAGCACTTGGCGAATCCCGAAGTTTGGTGAGAGGTTTGCTGGCAGACGGGCACCTCTGAGTCACGCGGTGGCAATGGTGGGAAAGATTGAAGTGCAGCCACCCTACGACTGGTTCTTTGGTGACAATTTCTTCACTCCCGAAGGAAAGCAGACCTTAGCAGACCTCATGGAGGACCCATGCTTAGCTGTGGAGCATTGGGCGCCTGAATGCAAGCTTTTCAGCAGGGCCCGTGGTCGCCCTATCACGTTGAGGAGCGGTCGTCGCATTCAGGGGCCGCAGCCGGTCAGAGACGCTCACCACGTCATGGGGTATCAGCTCATTGGGAGCTGGTTGAGGCTATGATGGGATTGGCACATGCGCAAGGTTACAGTGAGTTTGCATTGCTGCTCGCTCTTGGCTTCAATGCTATGCTGAGAACCAGTGAAATGCTCTCGCTGTCACATCAACATGTGGTTCCTCATCGCCATGGCAAGGGCATGAGCCTCATCATCCCAGGCAGCAAGACTTCACAAGGCAACCCGCAAGTCCTTTTGGTTCTGGATGCAGATTTGATTGCCTATGCCTCCTCCTTATGCCGACCGGGAGAGAGGAGTCTGCTGTGGTCTGATGGCCCTCATCGCTTTCGTCAGCTGTTTGCTTCTTTGCTGCGGCGGCTAGGCTTTGCCGAGGATGACTATACTCCCTATATAGCTTACGGCGGGGAGGGGCTACATGGTTCTTTCAGTCTTCCCTGAGTCTGGATGCTACCATTGCCCGTGGTCGATGGTCCTGTGGAAAAACTGCAAAGCAATACATTGATGAAGGCACCTATCAATTGGCACAAGTCTCGTTCACCCCTGAGCAGCGTTCCAGGATCCGAACATGGCGTTTGAGATTTCTGCGGCTGCGCCAGGGAGGCAGGAAGCGGAGGGAGTGAGTCCTTCTTTTTTTTGGCTCTTCCTGCTAGAGATGGATTTGGTGAGGCCTGCGAGAGGCACGAACAGGTCATGCAAGATG